TAGCGGTTTCAAAATGGCTGCCGGGTAAACAAAATGGCTCCCCGCTGTTTTCTGGGATGGATTCCTCGCTGCACAGGCACCAAAATGGCTGCCCTATGGAGGATCTTCGCTGGACAGTGAGTTTCCAGCCCATTGGAACACATTGAAGGGATTTCAATGCGTTTCAATGGGCTTTTTATTTTTGCATTACGACGTTTTTGTTCTGCAGAGATTTCGCTGGAACGAATTAACATCGTAATGTGAGGCACCACTGTATTGTGTTCTTGCCTACAACCTGATCATATGTCAAGCAATAAAGTATCTGTATATTTATGCTTTGAAGTGTATATTAAAATGAAAGTAAAATTAGAAAACTGGTTCTTGAAGCAATTGTTTGCATTATGTGAGAACTGTTTTGAAAATACCTGTCATTGCTCAGCCAGATCTTGGAACACAGTCAGATAACAATGACAGAAGTGAGCCAGTTTTCACAGGCATAAACAATGAGTAATGTTTTAAAAAATGAGGATAAAAAAAAATCAGTGGAACCACCTGTGCTCTGACAGTATTGTGTATTTACGTGGTCTAGAGATAGGTGGGTTATTCTACAATTTTAGATATTTAAGGTTATGAAGGCATGGCTGTGATGACTTCACATACTGGCTAAACATGCAGGAAGACATTAGCACAATGATTTCTTACAAAATAATTAGGAACCACAGTACTGCCTATTTTCTCTTAATCTCCCCTCCCCCAAGGACTAGAGGTGAGCTTTCTTAAATAAGAAGGTGGAAATTCAGATCACCTTCTTGTTATAAAAATGGATGATGTGAGTAGGAAAGCCATGCTAATGGCTGACATGGCTATACACCAGCTAAAACCTGATCATTTTAAGCCAACATTTTTTCATCTCCCTGTTTTCCCCCTCTTTTTCCTATTTTCTTACTTTTTCCCTCCGTCTCTTCTTCACTCCCCGCATGATCACAGAATCCTCCTTTTCACTCTCCTCTTTCATATACCTGGTCTTTCTTTCTTTCTTTCTTTCTTTCTTTCTTTCTTTCTTTCTTTCTTTCTTTTCTTTCTTTCTTTCTTTCTTTCTCTCTCTCTCTCTCTCTCATTGCTTCTGATTTCACAGGAATGGGTTGCTTTACAGAGAACAATCTCCTTTAAAGATACTGTCTGTCAGGAAATCACTCCTATCTGTCCCCCAAAGCAGTAACCTCATCTCTGACTGGATCAAAAATGTCCAGCTTGGTTATGGATCAGGGTTGGACTGGAACGCAATTTCTCATACGTCATGTCATGTGATCACTTTGAAATTGATTGGACTAGACTGTTCTATAAGTGGTTCAAAATCCATCAATATTCACAGCAATTTTCAGTTTCCTGGTTCGTGCTCCAGAACCATGGCAGAAACAAACACACATACATATTTGTGATAGATATGAAGGAGTAGATGATACCTTTATTAGACTACTTTTTAAAAAGGCAAGCAAACAACAAACAGCTAGCTTTCAATTGATAATCCATCTTCCTCAGGCTGTGCACCAAGTTCTTGTGGGTAGCTGAGGCATGATGCGGGGATCTGAACCAGGTCTTTCAAGCCCCAGTCCATCATCCTAACCTCTACACCACAATGATTGTGCCAAAAGGAACACTGAAATTTCTCCCCTCTGTGCAAGTTCATCTGAAAACTTCATGTTCTGTAAAATCCATGTAAATTTGGTGTTTTTCACCTTAATCCTAAGATACTAAATGTATTTTTAATATTATATTTATTGCAATCTTTTATAATCTCATTTATAATCATTATATTTCATAACCTCCCATTCTGTGTCAAATATCCAGTTCCTCAGGTTACAATAAAATATCTGATAAATTGTAGTCAATCAGCTTGTTCTGCCCTGTCTTTGCCCCATCTACATTCCTTAGCTGCTCCTGCAATGGTGCTATTACTGCAGCCTAAATGAAATGTTCCCTCTGTTTTCCATTGAAGTTGGGGCAAATTCACAGTTTATGTCCCACCCATGTAACGCATGAATGGTGCCGTCTCTCCGACTACCAGGGGTGAGAAGAGCAGCACCAGCCCTCCCCCTGTCACTGCCAGAGGGGAATACAGGAGGGGAGAGGGAGTGGCAGCAACCTCTTTCCTTGAACTGTTCTCTGCCTGCTGCCTCCACAGCAAAACAGCTCGCTATTTGATCATGTCTTGGCCCTCTGGTCCTTGGTGGGTTGGCCAGCCTTCCCACAATGTCTTGGCCCTCTGAACTCTAGGAATCAGGCATTATCTAGATCAGTGGTCCTCAACCTTGACAATGGGTGGAGAAGGACTGCAGAAGTGGGACTTTCACTCACCCCAGTCCTTTGTCCATCTAAGGAGCCTACAGTGGGGTCTTGACTTGAGAACTTAATCCGTATTGGAAGGCGGTTCTCAAGTCAAAAAGTCTGTAAGTCAAGTCTCCATTGACCTACAGTGCATTGAAAACCGATTAATCCCATAACAAGCCATTTTTGTTCCATTTTGGTTTTTTTCTGGTCTGTAAGTCAAATCTCAGTCTGCAAGTCAAACCTAAATTTTGCGGCCAGAGAAGTCTGTAACTCAAAAAGTCTGTAAGTCAAGCTGTCTGTAAGTCAAGGGTCCACTGTATTCAGATTAGGGGGAAGTGAAACCTACATGGAGTCAGGGCTCTCTTACCAACTTTCCTCAGGCTGAAGAAGCTACCTGGATGAGCAGCGAACGTTCAACCTAATAAGTCCAGCTGCCATGACTCAACTTCCAGATATACTGTATACAGAACTTTGCTGTTGAGTTTGCAAGAGCTGAGCAGGGTTGCTGATGATAGTACATTTTGTACTATCATGATAGTCACACATAGAATAATGGAATCATTGAGTTGGAAGGGGGACCTATAAGGCCATTGAGTCCAACCTCCTGCTCAATGAAGGAATCCAAATGAAAGCAGTTGTCCGATT